TCCTGGAGGTCTAAATATGAAGTAAATAACCTGGCATACACTGGATGCTTCAGAGCAAATTTCCTAAAGGTGTTGTATGAGATGTGTGTTGAGCTCTTTCCAGCTATTTTCCTGAAAGAGTCTGGAAACATCAAGATCTGGCACTCTAGAAGCTGCCCGAAGTATAACAGTGAATTCCTTTTTTGTTATGAAACCATCTTCATCAAGACCAAAAAGCTTAAATGACATTTGCAGAATCTTTTCAGTGTTGGCAGGATTGCACAGGATGGTCAGACCTATCACATACTCTCTGAAGTCTATTGATGCCATCGTTATTCCTGTCAAAGAGCAAAAAGTTGTCTCAAGGGCTCTGAAATTGGGAGTTTTAAATAACTTGAAAACTCTTCAATTCCTATCTTCCTTCCTTTTGAGGCAACTGCAATTATAGCATAGTCATCCAAATGTTTATCAATATTATCCCAATCTAATTTTAATTTATGGCTAATTTTTGTAAATTCTACCAAACCAGCTTCCATGGGTAGTTGAGGAAGTGTGGTCTGTCACAGGTACTCCGAAAGCATTCTCCATGTTAATTTGGACCTCACTGGCAAAAAGGAGGGGTCTTTTTTTCTTCATCATTTGGGATATAAACAGGCATAAACTCAACTTTCACCCTGGTGAAAGGTTGACTCAGAGTTAACATGCAGGCCTGGAAGCCTGTAAACCCCTGCCAGGTCCAGGTCACCGTGTCCAGGGAGTTTGGGTACCTGAGCAGCGCTGGGTGCACAGGGGCACCTGGGGAGAAGGCTCCTGCTTTAAAAGTGACCCGACAGGAGCTATTGGTGCACACACTTTCCGGAAAAATCAGAATTTGCGGCCCCTTCGTTTCGGATGTCACTCGCTTCAGGATTTCATTCCTGGCTTTCTTTCTAGAATCTGGGTCTTCTCGGGTCACAAGCACCGGTTCTGTTAACATGAAGAGTTTCCCAGCCAGCGGGATCTGCATGTTCTGACTTGCAGAGACCACCGAGGGTAACCCTGCCACAACACAGGCGATTGCATCAAAGAAAGTGGAGTGTGGGCCTGTAACGAAGATTGGGGCCTCGTCTATCTCCAGTCGCCTTTTCCCTTTTCCCTTTAACCGTGAACCCAGCGAAAAAGAACGCTACCTGAAACAAGAATTTGAGTACTGATTTCGTCAGATTTTTTCTCCAACTCTTGGTGGGTTCCGTCAGTCGAGTAGGAAGACCAAAGGTGGAAAGCATGACCACTGGTCGGAGGAAGAGGAAGAGGAAGAGGAAGGCGAGGCAGGCCACCCGCACAGACACCAGCACAGCCCCCAGGAGGATGGTGCAGGCCCAGCACCACGCACTCAGGTGCACCTGCTGCAGGAACGGGGTGGCCACCGCTGCAGGGTACCGGTACCGGAACTGGCTTCTTTCCTGCGCGACCGACCGCAGTATCCCATATCTCTGTCTCGGAGTCCGCAGACAGATCAGCTCTCAAGCCGACTTCTTAGTAAACTCAGAATGCGGGCACTTTGGCTCTGGGCGTGGCCTCTACATGCACTCCCTCCTCACATTCAAGCACTCTTTCGGTTTGCACATAATTAGAACTCTTAGGGGATTGTGGGTTAATGAATAGGAAATGATGTATGACCTTTGAAATCAGAAAAATCAAAGATGGTAAATATAACAAGCTATTTATAATCATATCAAAAAAAATCATTTTTCCTTTCCTGCAAACACCTTGCTTTTGACATATATGGGTAATAAGTTATTTTCACATAACAAATTCTGATATTTATATTATGCATATATATCTACTAAAGCTATATTCATTTGAATGGATAAATGCTAATTACAACTTTTTAATTTAAGTACCATTACCACTTAAAGTTTATTTACTGTGAGCTGCTTTGGCAGATAGTTTGTCAAATTAATTTACTCTCATTACAAATTGATTGCTATGGAAATAGTTCTCTTTATCCTAAGAAGTTTAACTGATGGCACCCTTGAGCCTTTGTGTTACAAGGATTTTTCCACATACACTGAAAACTAGAGTGCATCTTAATAGGTCAGAATTGACCCAGGCATGATGCTGCACTCCTGTAATCCTGGCTACTTAGAAGCTGCTCAGAAAAGGAATCACAAATCAAGGTCCATCTGGGCAACTTAGGGAAACCCTATCTTAAAATAAAATAGGACAGAATTGGCCATGACACATTTGATGTGTGTGTGTGTGTGTGTGTGTGTGTGTGTTACTGAGAATTGAACTCAAGGTCTTTGCACTGAGCTACATCTTCAGCCTCCATTTTCTATTTTGAAAAAGGTCCCATTAAATTGCCCAGGCTGGGCTGGAACTTGTGATTCTCCTGCCTCAGCTTCCCAGAGTGCTGGGATTACAAGTATGAAACCATGCCTGGTTTTGGTTCATATTCTTAAAATTGGTCCACATGAGTCAATCACCAGTCCAAAATGACATAAGTAACAACAATAACAACAAACCTCAAAATCAACTTAATAATAGGTTTTCATTAAAATAAATCAGTATTTATTGTGGCAACACACACAACTAACGATTCATGTTCCTTTTTGTTGTTGTTGCTGCTCTTCAAAAGTGATAAAGAGGGAAACACAATCAAAGTTGGTATGAATCAGGCTTTCTTCTATACCTGCAATTCTGACAACGTCAAATGGAGGATTCTTATGTTTGCTAATCACTAATTTGAATTCCTTTTTCCAAGAATTAAAAGTCATATTGTAGGTCTCTGAGACATGTTTCCATCTTTTGGAGAATACCAGATTACTGCTACCACAGGAAGAGTGGTATGGATACCAAAGCTGGTAAACAAAATGTGTTGGAAGTTCCAGATCATGGGCTATATTTTATAGCCAAATGGATCTTAGGCTTGATCCAACACTTATGCTATGGGCATTGGCAAAGTTACTCATTAAACTTCATTTCCACATCTATAAATTGGTGATAGTCCCTACCCTGTAATGTTGTTATGAGACACCAGCATAATATATGTAAAGAATAGTTATCATTGTAAATACAAGTTGCTATGGTATGAGAATTTTTAGAGATGTTCCACTTTCTTCTGTCACTTTGAGAATTATGCTTAGAGAGGGAGACATTCTTTTCACCAACATAGGACTAATTAGGGAACACAGTGTGGTCTCTAAAGTGCCATGATTTGGCAATGTTACTATTTGTCTCCTCCACCCAAGGAGAACCTAAAGGGAATGAGGAACAGTCCTTTGAGCTGGTATTGTTCTCTATTTTGCAGCTCTTCTCACTTTTACTTGTAATGTTCATTTCTACTCTTGAATCTTTAACTGCATTCCGTGTATACTTTTAAGGAAAAGTTATCATGTAATCTATCTTTCTTTTATATTCTCCTCCTACACATGGTGTCTAGCAGTATATCAGATATACAGTATTATAGTAGTTTTTCTTTATCCACAGCTTCAGTTACCTGTAGTCAGCCACAGTTTGAAAATATTAAATGAAATAGGGGAAGTAGGAGGGGTAGGGGAAAGGAAAGAAGGGAAAAGAAAAAATATGACAAAAGGAAAAACATGGAAACAAAGTCTTTGTAAATAGGGAGGGGTGGAGGGGGTGAAGGGAGGGCAGGGGAATGGGGAAAAAATAAGAACCAAGATATATCATGTAAAGGTACAAGATCCCAATGATGAATGTAACTGTATTGTATACCTAAAATGTACCAATAAACTAAATGGAAAAAAGAGAAAATATTAAATGAAAAATTTCAGAAATAAACCTGTAATCCTAGCACTTAGGAGGACAAGGTAGGACGATTTTGAGCTCATGGCCAACCTAGGTTATAGAGTGAGTTCTGGCTTGGACTACATGACAAAGATCCTGTCTGAAACAAAACAAAACAATTCATAAGTTTTAAATTGTGCACTAGTCTGAGCAGTGTGATCCCACTCAGGATGTGAATCATCCCACTGTTCAGCATATCCAGGCTGAATAAGCTACCAGCTACCCACCAGTTAGTCACTTAGCTATCTCCATTATCAGCTTTTCCTGATAACGAAGTGCTTGTGTAACCTTTATTTTACTTAATTACAGCCCCAAGGTGTAAAGAGTGGTGATGCTGGCAATTCAGATATGACAAAGCTGTAAAGTGCTTCCTTTAAGTGAAAAGGTGAAAGTTCTAGACTTAAAGAATCATATGCTGAAGTTGCTAAGATCTACAGTAAGAACAAATCCATCTTTGAAATTGGAAAGAAGAAAAAAGAAATTCATGCTAATTTGCTGTCTTACCGAAAACTGAAAAAGAAATAGCCCCAGTGCATGACAAGTGCTTAGTTAGGATGCAAAAGGTGTTGCTGTATGGTGTTCCATGGTGTCCTCAGTTTTGGACATCTGCTGGAGGGGGGGCTCTTAGAATGGATACCCCGTGGATAAGGGGGACTACTATATTTAGTCATTAAGCAAATATTTGTTTGCTTACAGTGTACCAGGCTCTTATTCTAGCCTCCAGATGTCTATTAGTAAACAAAACAAAACAAAAAACAAAATCCCTGCCTTGTGGAGCTCAGATTCCAGTGCAGACAGGAAGAACACTATTAAATTCTTCTTACATTGAATGGAGAAAAAAGACATTTTGATCACTTTCCTAATTTACCAAATAGGCTGGAGAATTCAGGAAAGCAACTTAGTGGATGTGCATTCCTACTCTACAACGTTTAACAAATATATATATGCATAAATATAATGGTTGAAAATAATAAAAAGAACTTTTAAATAATAAAATTTATACCACTGCAGATTTGTCTTTTAATATGGCACAGCTAATCCTTAACTTTCATTTATAAGAGGCACCTTATGTCAATAAGGTAAAGAAAACAAGAAACCAAAACTAAGCCGTTCCCCAATTTCCTTTTTGTAAAAGTGTATACATTTTAAGGCAGATACTTTTCTGTGCAGAATACTACAGATGAAAATCAACATGATATCACATGCTCACACATTCACACTTTTTCAGTACCATTTTCAGGATATTTATTTATAATAAAGCATATTAAAACAGACTTTTCCCCTAGTAAAACATAAAGAAGTTGATGAATAATTTTTAAAAATTAGAGACTTCATTAAAGACCCTTCATAGAAGATAAAGAAAACTCAGTCTTTTTTTCTTGTTTCTTCTTTTAGAAATGTCCATATCAATTTGTTCACTATGTCAGGTTGGTCTTGCTGAAGCCAATGGCTGGCTTCTAACAAAATAGTTAATCTGAAGTAGTTCTTAACATATATCTTTGTGACTTCAGCCATCTCAACCTCCATGAATGCGTCTTTCTCTCCCCATAGTAGTAATGTTGGAGTGGTTACCATGTGATGCTTGAGAGGCAGGCAGCTATAAAACAAAACATGTGAGCTTTGAGATTCACTGTGAAAATTAAAATAACATTTTCCACAATGTTCCATTACACTATGGATTCTATACATTCAAAGGGGGCAATATGACCTCCAAAGGGGTAAAAACTGTTTCAGGGTAGGGAGAATCTTAATTTTTCTAAAGCATGAAGGATACATACAGTAGATAAACAGATAATAAAATTTCACGGGGTAGAGCATAATTAGGGAAAGAATGTTTTAAAAAGTCTCCTTAAGGAAGTGATAATGAAAAATGGTTGAGAAATACTATATCAAGCAGTCACTTGTATAATAAAACAAATAAAAGGTTATTTAAGAAGGGGTACAATAAAATTTTAAATTGCATGAGACCGGCAAAATTTATAGAAGACTATAATTAAATATGAAATTAATCACTATGAGGAATTGATACAAATGCCAGAATTTGAGTGATATAAGAGGTCAGACATGTGCCGGGAAGGTGGCGCCCCCAATTCCATAGGGACAATGGCTTTTGCATTCAGGACCCTTCCAGACCTTACCCTGTGTACCTCTTCCTCTGGCTGCTTATGTTTATTCTTTAATATATCCTGTATACCACCTGCCTCACAAGCGCAAGGTCCCGAGTTCAATCCCTGGTACCAAAAAAAAAAAAAACCACACAAATATATCCTGTATAATAAACCAGTAAGTGTACACATGTTTCCTTGAGTTCTGTGAACTGTCTCAATCTCAGGAGGGGTTTGTGGGAACCCCAATTTTTCTGATTGGTCAGAAGTTCCAAAGGCCCAGAATTGGGTTTAAACTGGTTTAAAGCAGGGTCAGTCTTGAGCATTAAGCTCTCAACCTGTGATATGATGCTATCTCCAAGTAGATAGTGTCAGAACTGAATGAGAGAACGCCCAGCTGTGTCCCCTGCAGAATTATTTGCTTACTGGTGGGGAGAAGTTCCCACATCTTTTGGGGTCACAGAAACCATCTGTATTGATTCATGTGAGAGCAAAGCAGCTTTGTTTTAGATACACATTAATATTGTCCAAATTTCTGAATGTATGGAGTTTTCTAAAATTTTGTTAATTTCTAACAGCATTGCATTCAGAGAACATAATCTATATGATATTAAGTTTTTGGTATTTGGTTAAGAGTTGTTTTGTAGTCCAGTATACAATGAATCTTTGTAAATATTCTTCATATGCTTGAAAATTAATGTATATTTTCTATTTACTGAGTAGAGAATTGTTTATAAGACCAAAGATTTTAACAGGACTGGTCAAATCTCTTATAACTTCATAAATTATTTTTCTGCTTGATCAAATCCCATGAGAAGTGGGTTAAAATCTTCTATAGCATTTGTGAATTTGGCTATTTTCCATAAGTCTGTCAATTTTTACTTTTATATCTGATGTTTTATTGTAAGTTTTTACTTGTTTATCTTTCCACATAGATACTGCATAGATCCTATAGTTAATCTGATTCCCAGTCTGTTTTGGATCCTTGATTCCAGGTTTTGGAGAGTACTTAGATGAAGCTGTGATCCTGGGGAGACTAAGGGTGATAAATGAGGGCCAATTTCATGCATGAGTACAATGAAATATGTTTAATTTGTAGTCTTATTATATGTCATACACCCCGTTTTTAATTATGTACTTGGCTTGCTTATTCTGTATGAAGAACAGTCCTAAGGGCATCAGTTGAGCTTTCAGAAGGTCTAATGTGACCTTCACCCAACTAGATTTAATCTACAACAATCTAGTTTGAAACTGTCTTTTGTCTTTATAATTTTGTGAGTTCTGCTTTTCACAGGCTCTGTCTCTCTTTGCCTCTCTCTCTGTCTCTGTCTCTCTGTGTCTTGTCTCTCTGCTAATTAACAGGATGCCAGTGCTCCCTCTTGGGAATGCAAACCTTTCTAATGAGCAATTGTTAGTAAAAGAACTTTGGAAAGATGAGATTTTTTTTCTTGTAGTTATGTAACAACATACTGTTTTATATCTCAGAGTTAGCTCTAAATAAGGGATAAAATGAAAACATTTTTTAAAAAAAAACTATCATTCTTGTCTTCTGTCCAAAACTAAGACTTGCATGAAAATTCATCATTCTCTTTATTTGCTCTTTACAAACGTATATGTATGTATTTGTAATGTTTTTGTTGCTTGTTCAAAAAAGAAGTTTGAATTTTCTTCTCCCTTCATTTGTATCTCATGACTCCCCTTGGATTCCACATTGACACAGTTGTTTTATTTAAACCAACACCTGCTATATACCTTTTTTTCTGTCTTCTTTTGAAAATTTTGTATTCTTATGCTTTACTTGTGACTGCATAAATACCATTAACGTGGAATTTTTAAAAACCCAATCTGGAAATATTAATTCATTGATAGTGATCACGCTCACTAACATATGAAATTGATTTGTCATTCTATTTTGTGCTTTTTATTTTCTCTTCTCTGCTTCTTTTTTATCCTTTTGTACCTTCCTTTGAATTTCTTATCCTCCTCTACTGGTTTAAAAATATTTAATGTATTTTCTTTCTATTATTTTTCCCAGAAAAATTCTTAGTGTATATACATACATATTCTTAGTGTAAATACAGATATGCACTTAACATTTTATACATACTGTATGTATTATATATATATACATATTCTTAGCATTTATATATTATACACAATTTCTAATTCTATTCCCATGTCAAATACATCTTGTTTTTTAAGTCTGCATTTGTTTCGCTAAGGTATATTCTGGTTAAGCTTTTGAGATATAATTTCTAATTAATAATTTTCTTTATCTTGTATAAGATGCTACTTAATTCACTTATTAACTCTAAGACATCAATGGTCATTCTTTTCATTTTCTAAAAGTTCTTCCAGGTTTTTAAAAATGTCTTGCAAACGCAAGGTCCTGAGTTTGATCCTTAGCACCTGAAAAAAAAAAAGAAAGAAAAAAGAAAACAAAAGGAAAACAAAACATACATGCTATCAGTGTAAGTGATACTGGTGTATGAAACATGCAATTATCATATGTGAAAATTGGGTGTGACAGTTGAAGCAAAGATTATTCTTGTTGTGGAGTTCCATTGGTATTTTCATTGTAGTTCACAGATTTTCATTTCTGGTGTTATCTTTTAGGTTTTGTAATCAAGTAAACAGCTGATGTGAAATGTTGATGTCTATTCTAAACACTCATTACACATTTGGTATTTTATTTTATTCCTATCTTATTTTCCTGCTAAGTGTATGTTGTATAATATCGTAGGAAGCTCCTGACAAAACAGGAAAAGGTTAAAAAAAAATGGCCTCCCACATAGGAAAGGAAAGCTAAGCATATGTGCTGTCAGTGTAAGGGAGATATTTACATGGAACATGCAGGTGTCATGTATGAAGACTGCCTCGAGTGTAACAATTGAAGTAAAGATTATTTTTGTTGTAGTGTTCTGTTGATATTTTCATTGTAGTTCACATAACATAGGTTTTTATTTCTGATGTTATCTTTTAGGTTTTTTAAGAAAGTACACAACTGATGTGAAAATGTTGATGTCTATTTTAAGTACTCATTACATATTTCATATTTTATTTTATTGCTATCTTATTTTATTATTTAGGTGTGATAATTGAAGTAAATATTTTTTGTAGAGTGCTTTTTGTATTTTTATTGTTCATATAGGAATTTATTTCTAATGTTATCTCTTAAGTTTTGTAAGCAAGTATACAGTTGATGTGAAAATGTTGATGTTTATTCTAAATGTACAATATGTATTAATAACTTAATACTTTATTTTATTGATATTTTATGTTCCTGTTAACTACACATTGTATAATATAATAAGAACTTCCTGACAAAACAGCAAGACCAGCGAGATGTCAAGTATGTTCTACAAAAAAGCCAGAAAAACAAAACACATGTGCTGTTAGTGTAAGTGATACATGTGTATGGAATATGCTGTTGTCATGTGTCAAGACTGCCTTAGGTGTGACGATTGAAGTAAATAATTTTTTTGTAGAGTGCTACTGATATTTTCATTGTAGCTCATTTAGGAATTTATTTCTCTTGTTCTTTTTTAGAGTTTGTACACCAAAAAGTCAATGTTGAAAATTTTGATGCTTTTTTATAAACGCTCAGTAAATATTAAAAATGCAATACTTCATTTTTGTGATTTTTTTCTTGTTAAGCACTCATCATTTAATATAATAAAACTCATTAAATTGAAATTAATAATTCATCAATAGAAATATTCTAAAGAATAAACATGGGTTTGACACACCCACGTTTCTGCGACTTTATGACAAAATATGTGTTACATTTTGGGGGCTAAATCTTTCTTCATCTCTAAAACTTTCTTCATCTCTACTGTTTTCAGACTGGGTAATTCACTCTACCATTGACTCTAACCTGGACTGTAGTTCTTGTATATACACTGAATCTCCTCCAATACATTGTCCACATTATGGCCTGAGTAAACTTACCCAAATATGAACTGGATCCTTTCTCTCCTCTTTTTCTGAAGCTTGTTCACTGGCTTCATAATCATGCTCTTATATTTTTAATATGGCCTGCTTGGCTCTGCATGGTCAGCTGCTAACTACCTTCGGGACCTATCTTCACCTCATGCTCTTCTCACCCTCCCTTGGGGTGTTCCAGCCACAGTGGCCCTAATTCTGTCATTGGAAAGCATAACACCCATTTTCCCACACAACTTTGGTCCATGTTCTTTCCTATTCCTGGATTGCCAGTTCCCCTACCTTTAACTGTGTTCAACAAATACCTATATCCTTTGCTTCTTTGTTCAAACATCACTTCTTTAGTTCTCATCTCTTTCTTTCAACATTCTGTTAGTATATAACCATGCATTCATTATTGTGGTGGTTTAGTGTGTGGTACTCCCACAATGCTACAAGTTTTCATGAGACCAGGAATCTTTTTCAGTTTTGCTTATCACTGTATCTTAGAATACTCTTTTTTTTTTTTTTGAGACAGGGTCTGGCTTTGAATTCACTATGCACCACCATGCCTGGCTCAATAAAATAGTCTTGAATGAATGAATAATCATTAAAATATAAATCTATTCAAACAAATTCAAAAAGAGATTAAGTGGATAGAATTATGGATAAAACAAGTGATAGCTATGTGGAGGATCTATTGTATTACATATTCTTCTCTTAACTTTTCCATATGTTTGAAATTTTCCATAAAAAGATAATGCAACTACTAAAAATTTAGAGTATTGTATTTGACTACTTGGATAAGTGGTGAATTTAATCTTAAAATACTGCCTCTTTACATTCAAACTGAAATATTTTAATAAAAAATAAATTATACTGACCTGAAAATATTTCGGTAATGGTTAATTGGACCACTTAATGCTCCAGGCTGAGAAAAGACATAAATATAAGCTTCAAGATCTTCTGTTGTTAATCGACATCCTTTTCTTCCAATGCCAGTGCTCTGACTGGTAAAGAGATGTTTCAAAGCCTAATTTAAGTGAAAAGAGAATAATTAAACTTTTCAATTATCTAATAATAGCTAAATCTTTAGCTTTAAAGGGAGATGGTGATCAGCGTGCAGTGACAACTCCTAACTTTTGTTCCAGCTAGGTTCATGATTTCATTGTTTAAAAACACATTTTATGAATTTTTGTTTTTCTGACCTTTTTATATTCTTCCCTTTTAGCTCCTTTTGCATACTTCACCCTTTTGAAAAGCTTCTTGTATTCTTGGTGTCTTTTCATATTCTACAAAGTCCAGCTCAAGTGCTACTCCTACCAAAAAGCCTTTCTTAATATTCCAGCTGTTGCTTACTGACAACTGATCTTCTCCCCCACCAAGTCTCCACCCTCATTTTGAAAAATACTGCTCTCTATACCAGCATTTCACAAAGTACACATCTAAATCACCTGCGTAAGAATAATGGGTGGTTGTTTAATTGTAAACCCCTCAACCCCAAAAACATGCTTGTAAAAATGTAAAATGACGTATGTATGAAGTAACTGCAAAACTATTTGTAATAGAAAATGACTGGAAACAATCACATATCCATTTGTAGTGGGACTGGTTGAATAAACCGTGGTATAGTTACACAATGGTGTATTGTATTCTTAGTACTCCAAGAAAAGATGGTCGTAAACTATATGTTTATATGGCATAATCTCCAGGCTATATTGTTAAGTGAAAAAACAAAAAACAAAACAAACAAACATAGGTTAAAAAAGTGTTTTACAACATGCTATCTTTTGTATAAGAAGGGAGATAAATAGAACTACATGTAAGGTTATAGTTTTAAAAAGAAACCATATAAAGATAAGCCAAAATTAAATAAAATTGTTTCCTGTGGGAGATGGAGAGAACAAGATGGAGGGTTCAAAGAAGCAAGCAAGACCTGTCTGAATGTACTTTGTTTTAGAATTTTGACTTGGAACTACACAAATGTTTTATGTAAAATCACAGAGTTAAGTAAAAACCCTATAGTCTTAAATTTGTGATGGAAAAACAAGTAAATACATTATTTCTTCTTTCTAAAAAATATGCACATCTAAATCCTATCCAATGGAAAGATTTAATAGCAATAAAATCCCAGTTACAATGATCACCTTTTCACCTAGATTGTAGTCTCTAAATACCATTTCTTGCCGAAAGGATTCAAAGTTCCTTCACTAAATGTCTGATTTTAGATGTATAGTAGGAAATAAAATGTAGGCCTACAACAGTGATGGTGAACCTTCTAGAGTTTTCAATGATAACAAAGAGTTGGCTGCGGCAGTTGTGCCGTAAGTTCACCACTGCTGACCTAGAACATTAAGAAGTAATGTTTCTTGCTGGGGATTTAGCTCAGTGGTTCTAGTGCCTGCCTTGCAAGCACAAGGTCCCAAGTTTGATCCCCAGTACCAAAAAAAAAAAAAAGTAATGTTCCTGAACACTGAGTACTAATTATTCTTGATTTAAGGGATTATGTCAAAGGACATAGGAGCCAATGTCCAGGGGTTCTCACTTGCCTAATATGAGACAATCTGGGATCAAAAGGAATAATGATTGTAATTGATTGGTGTATAACAAGTATGAATTCATTACATTGACAACTGTTTAATAAAGGAAAGAATGAAGCTTTTGTCCTGCCATTCTTGTGTAAACTGTATTTAAGAATAATCAAACAGATGATGCGGAGGACTTCTTTGCAAAGGAATTCCAATTAATAAAAGCATAAAGGATGACAGAAGTAAAAGAATCATTATTTTGCACACTTTAATGAAACAATAAACCTAGGCTATTGTCATCATTGTGCTAAAACTCATTTGAAAGGATGTCAGGAAATGTTTGATCAGTTGACAATTCATGGGCCCACTGATCAGTGTTCACATCATAAAACCAGGAACAGACTTCCTCAAGGTGATGAATTAGAAAATATACAGCAACAACTATTAAGTATTCTTGTCAAATTAAACTTCAGTCTAATCAAGCCTCTATATCATTAGTACCTATGAAGTAGAAAAAGTACACAATGAAGAAATTAGTCAAATCCAAAATGTGGATCTTTCTTCAGGACAACTGACCCAATTTCTCAATAAGTACATGGTATATTTTTTTAGAAAGAAAAAGCCCAGAAAAGAATTTGTAATACATTGAAAAAGCGTAATAGCCAGGTATAGGGGCATGTGACAGTAGTCCTAGCTCCTCAAGTGGCTGAAGCAGGAGAATCACTTGAGCCCACAAGTTCAAGACCAGTCTGGGGAACAACAGTGAGACTTTAATGAGGAAAAAAACAACAACAACATAATAGCCAAGTATAATGTATGGACCTTGTTGGTTCCTGATTCAAACAAATGAAGAATGTCAAGAGTTGAAATTGTTAAGGAAATTCAAATAGGTATTAAAAATTAAAAAGTTGTCATTCATTTTGTTAGGTTTGATAGTGGCACTGGGGTATATTATAAAAACAAAAAAAGCCCTTATTAGCTGAGAAGTAGCTCAGTGGTAGAACATATACTTAACATGTTAAAACCTTGGGTTCAATCTTCAGCTTAAAAAAATTCTTATCTGTCGGAGATATATACAAAATTATTTCCAGTAAAATTATATTGTGTCTTTTAAAATTTCCAATATCTACCACCATTGTGAACATATAAGAAGTGTTCAATAAGTTTCTAAGATACTCGCATATCAATATACATGGTACACCAACACCTGCATGTTTGCTTTGTTTTATTTATTCCCAAGGGCTTTCACTTCTGCTGCTGTCAATCTTTCTTGCCTGATATTCACACTCCCTCATCTCTCCATGAGGTTCTTTAAAAAGAGGTATACCTTAGAAGTATGGGCTCTCACAAAAAACCGTACAGCTAGGCACTCAAATATAAGAACAGAGACTATAAAGAGAACTAAGTCTATAGGTAAGTCCTCAAAGCATTCATTAAGTTTTAACATTTTAATTTCATTTTTCATTTGTAATGTTTGCCTTACCTTGAAATCATTTATTGAGAACATAAATTCTGGGAACTGTGGTATTTGGAAGAAGTAGTAATAGCTGGATTTGAATAGCTGGGCAGGGTGTTGTAAAATATATTCTGAAATTAAAATGCTATGTTAGACTTTATTCCAGAGGTATAAGCTACTTGCTATTGAAAGAACTTTTTAGGAGAATTTTACCTTTAAGACAATCTCATAAAAGAATCCACATAAAAGAATCTATATATTGCTCTTTAGAACAATTTCTATCTTCTTTAATTTTATTATAGGTATTTTTAGTATTTATAAAATTTATAGCACTTTAAGTAAAAAGAAAGTTCTCCTTTATGAAGTCCTCACTCAGAAGGGAGTAGGAAGCCCAAACTCTGCTTTTCCTCCAAAGTCATCATCAGCAACCTGACACTTTTCTTACGAATTCACAGTAATTTTCCCTTTAGAAAAGATTTTTCCTTACAGATTGATTCAAACTGAACATCTCATTCATTTGCCCTCAAAAAGAATTGGAGAGTTTCCTATAAATTCATTCATGTATCTAGAAAATTCATTCATTCAATGAATATCTGTGTGTCTACTGTGTCCCAGGAAATTTAGCCATGAATGAGACAGGAAAGGTCCCTGTGCACAAGAATCTTACACAGTAAGTGACAAATACTTAAAAATCACTTTAGAGAGCAATAGTCTCATAAAAAAATAAAACAAGCTAATCTTACTGAGAGTGATGGTGGCGTGGAGTGGAGGGACTCTGATAAGACGTGATCAGAGAAGGTCTCTCTGGGGACGTGATATGTGGGCTGAGTGCTGAATGGTTAACAGGGAGCCAGCCATGCAAAGATGTAGAAAGAGCACCCAGGAACAGCAAGTAGGTGTTGGGCTTGATATTAGCACAAAGGACAAAGAAGGCCAGAGTGACCGAAGGGCAGTGAAGGAGGCGGAAGTGGTATGAGAAGAATCAGAAAGAAAAACTGAAAGCAAATTTGGTAGGATTAGAATGGCAAGGATTTTATTTCAGGTGGTTTGGCGAGACACCTAAGTCTTAAATGGGGAGTAGTGTTATATATTGCACACTATGCTTTTATTTTCCTTGCCATAGGTCATTTTTCCTTATTTCTCATTTTGTGACTACATTAAATATGGTTATAGAGTTCTTAGAAATATAATTTTTAGGTAAATGTTCACAATTATGCTAGACTCTTTGTAAAATCATCATTAAACAAGATTTATTCACTCCTACATTAAGAGATATCAATACAATTAAAGAAAGAAAATAAAAATGTTACTTGGAATTCTCATATTGACCGGCTTAAAACTATTATTGATAATTTCAGAAATAGTCCAAGTATCTCCTTGTTGAAATCAATAACTACAATTAATCCATATAATACCATTACCAAAATAATAGTTACTCAAAGGTCCTGATCAATTGAACAGCATGTAGCATGACTTCTGCTGCCTAATTCAATTGAGAAAAATATAACAAATCTCAAGATATTTGAGTACTAAGCTTAGTAACTAAACAAAAATAGATCAATTGGTCATGTATCTAAAATTCAGTCCTTACACTTAAAATATGCAGTATTTACATATTCACAGTCCCTTTCTTCCTCACTTGTTTAGTTTGGGGAAGAAATAGAAATATGTTATTCTGAATTTTTTGTTTCCTAAAGGGCTGCTGTGGGTCTTAGGAGTACCTGTATCTCAGAAAACCTAACAAGGGCTGAGTGTAATAGTGCACATCTGTCTAACTACTCAGGAGGCTGAGGCAGGAGAATTTCAAGTTCAAGGCCAGCCTGGACAATTTAACAACTTCCTATCACAAAAAACAAATAAAACAACTTAATAAAGGTAATTAAAGAATAAAAAATTATATATTTTCCCAAACAAAAGATGTGCGTAGCCATTGTTCACAGGACTAAGAGTCATCATTAAGTTTTAAGAGTTCCCTTTAAAGCAAAGGCTCTCAAAGTATAGTTCCTGTGGATGCCTCTTCAAGATTCTTTTAAGGTGTCTACATGGCCAAATCTTTTTCATAAGACTATGACATCATTTATTGTTTTTCACTGTGTTGAAATTTGCATGGATGCTACCAAACCAATAGTGGATAAAGCCACTGATGTCTTAAGACAAATCAAGGGGTTGTGACTAAACTATACCAGTAGTCATGTTAGTCTTCACCACTGTACTCTTGTAGCAAATTCATTAATTAATTAATGTTCCAGTTTCACTTAATCTCCTTGATGAAAGAGCAAAAACTATTAATTTTATTAAAGCCTGAGTTTTAAGCACACATCTTTCTAGCATTTCAGTATTCCATGTGATTAAATAGAAAGAACACATAAAACAGTTTTGTTGCATACTCAAATACAATGGTTGTCTTAAGGAAAGGCATATCTGCAATCATTTTAGTTAATGAGTTGAGTTTGCTGCATTTTAAAAATGAAATATCATTTTAACTTGAAATAATGGCTTAACAAACTATCAGTTAGATAGGTATTTGGCAGATAATCCCTTGAAAAGGTGCAAACTGAGCCTCTCACTTTAAGGAAAACAACAGTATTTTTTGCCATTGATAAAATAAAAGCTTCCTTTTTTGTTTTTTTGAAAAAGGGTCTCCCTATATAGTTTAGGCTGACTTTGAACTCACTATGTAAGGCTGGCCTCTAGTTTGTGATCCTCCTGCCTCAGCCTCCTGACTGCTGGCATTACAGGTGTGCACCACCAACCCTGGCTTAAATAAAAGCTTGTTTTCAAATAAAGATTGGAATTTTGGAAAACTTCTATCTCCTACTGGAAACTTCATGGTTTTGCAATAGTTAAGGCTTTTTCTGATGAGGCTAAGGTGATATCAGTGTGATTTTTTGATATCAAGTAATGAAGTGTGTCATATCAACCTATTGAAGGACTGCAAAATTCAATGAACTCTGTGAACTACTGAAGGTCTCCATAACTCAGTTTTGTATCAATACAAAATCATGTATGTATAAAATATCTATTCAAAATGCTAGTGAGTCCAATTGATTTTAATGTGACACAGTATGAAAAGTTCTTTTACATGTCATGTTCCACATTGTTACTAACCTTTAAGAAACAACCAGTTTTTGAGTTTGGTGTACCATGATGGAGGAAAATCCATATTTAGCTGAAAAGGCTATTAAAATATTCTTCCTTTTTCCAATTACAAATCTGTGTGAGGTTAAATTTATTCTAACAATGTATTACAACAGATTGGGTGCAGAAGCAAATATAAGAATCCAGTTGTCTTGGATTAAGCCCCAAATTAAAGAAATTTTCAAAAATATAACATACCCGTTCTCATTAAAGCTTTGGTTAGTGTAGTTGGTAGTTTTATGTAGTCTGTAGTTAGTTTTAGTTAAAACATGCTACTTATGTTAACACATAATAGATTTTTAAAGAAATGAATTAATGTCTAAATACTTTTAAAATTTGTTTTAATTTCCAGTACAGTGACTATTTGCAGATATAACCTATATAAGCAAAATACCATTGGGGTCTTTAATGATTTTAAAAGTATAAAGACATCCTGAGACCAAAAATGAGAGAGCTGCTGCTTTAAAAAATATTTGTATTTCTAGTAGCCAAAGCAGTTATACAAGAGGAAAATTTATTTCTAGGTTTTCAGAATTCAGTACTTTCAAAGTAATGTCATTGCATTTTCCCCTTTATCTCTCTCTAAAATAATGGTGAAATGTTTCCTTTGCAAGCAAAGAAGATAAATTTTTCTTACAGTCTTCAGGAAGATTTAAAATCAAGGCATCTAACACTGTCATATATCATGGTTTAGTCATTTTATTGTTAAAAGAACATATTAGCCAAATTTTGCTGTTTTTAATCCAAAATGTCAGCGCCAATAGTGACTTGTCACATTAGCACAGATGATTTAATGAAAACTTAAACTCACCTGTAAATACATTTGGATGAGGGAAGTTAATAACAATAAGCTTTGTCACCATTTCAGGATAACAGATAGCAATTAGCCAAGCGATCATGCCCCCCCAGTCATGGCCAATCAGAACACATTCGCTATACCCTGAAATTGAGAAAAATGTTAATGTCATTGAAAAAGAACAGGTGGGTGCATCATTACCTCACAAAAAAAGTGACATTTCAGAAGCTACTCTTTCCACCATCCTACCCTATACTTTTCACAGATAAACTGTGGTTAGTGTTTCCAAAACCTGTCTGTACATCAGAATCACATAGATAGCTTTTTAGAAAATTTAGGTGCCCAGGATCCACTCTAGACCTACAGATTCCAAATCTCTTTCAAGAATCTACATTTAAAAATAAATCTGAAATAGCCAGCTCAGTTCTGTTCTTATGGATCTGAGTTTAGAAACTATGGTAAAGAGTGCACATAATTAGGTCTTAAATGTAATTATTTGAATTCATTTTTAAATGCTGAGAAATTACCAGCTATAGTAAAATCATAAACGGCACATTTATGTCCAATCTGTATTTTTTTTTGAGACAGGGTCTTACTACAGTCACAGGCTGGCCTGAAAGTCACTATGTAGCCCAAACTGGCCTTGGACTCGTGATCCTCCTGCCTTTGTCTCCTGGGTGCTGGGATTATAGATGTGCGCTACTGCACTGGGCTTCAACTTGTAAATCTTTATGTATAGAAAGTATGTATTTTCTCTCTAACTCCACAAATCCAGTGTTACAACTAAACATGTCAAACTGAATTAGTGGCAAGTCTTAATTATAGCATCTTTAGTTACAGTCATGCACTGTGGAATCCCATTTCCATACATATATGACGGTGGTCCCATAAAATTATAACAGGGATGAAAAATTCCTATCACTTACTGATGTAGCTGTCCAAGCGTAGCACAATGCATTACTCAGGTGTTTGTGGTAATGCTGGTATAAATGAACCTACTGTTCTGTTAGTCATTGGGAAGTACAGCATGTACAATTGTGTATAATAAATACTTGATAATGATAAATGACTGTTACTGGCTTATATACTTCCTATACTATACTTTTATTGTTATTTTAGAGTGTACTCCTTCTAATTATTAAAAATTACTGTAAAACAGTATGCTATGTTATGCTGAAAGCAGCCTTGTGCATCTTATGCTTTTCATGTCTCTTGATTGCAAGAGGCCACATTAAGTAACTGATACAATTTAGGTTTGTGTAAATACACTCTATGACAAGTGCACAAAGATCAAACAGCCTGGGCTGGGGATTTAGCTCAGTGGCGCTGTGCCTGCCTCACAAGCACAAGGTCCTGAGTTTGATCTTTGGTTCAAAAAAAAAAGGAGCAAAGATAAAACAGCCTAATGATGCATTTCTCAGAATAAATTCCACCATCAAGTGAGACATGACTGTAAGCTTCATTTCATGTAATCACTAAGATAATATGAATTAGGTTAAACTATTTTTATTAGTACTTTTATTAGTACATGTTTGTAGTACATAATGATTACATTCATTGTAGGGAATTGGTACATGTATATAATACATCTCAATTCTTCTTTTCTCCCTTCCCTCTACCCCCTTTTATTTTGTCAGCATCAGATTCATTTATTTATCTTATAATATCTAATAAAGTTAATTATCATATACACAGATTAAAAACCAGACTAATAGGCCAAAAAGCATATAAAACACATAAGACAATTATACTAAGTTAAGGTACACTTTTAGGTACATTGTCCATGCTAGATTACAATAACTGGGCCGGGGATTTAGCTCAGTGGTTCCGCTGCCTGCTTTGCAAGTGCAAAGTCCTGAGTTTGATCCCCGGTACCAAAAAAAAAAATAGATTACAATAACCCTTTTTCCCCTCTCTAACAGAGATTCCTAAAAGATTTCCCTTGTACAGCTTGATAAGATTCATTTGTAATTTATTTCTGAAGTACTTAAAATTACTTAATTCTTTCAATAATTTCTCACCATTATTATTCTAACATACACACACACATACACACATACTTGTTTATATTATTGATTTCCCTAGGAAATTTCATGATGACAGATTTAGGTCAGGTCTGACTGAATTATCACAAAATCTGAATGTAATACAACAGTTTGAAATCAACATCGGAGTCTCTTTTATTGTAATCAAACTCAATAAAGCCATTGTAGACTGACTCCATCCATTATTTTCTCCTCTAAAGTATTCAGTCTGATCTATACTCTCATTAGATTACTGTAGAAAGGCTCTTTGGTTTCATGGCGCTTTTCACTGTGTTGTTTCCCTTAACATACTGATTTTAGTAGTAGTAGTAGCTTGTAGTAATAGTAGTAGTAGTAGTAGCTTAGTAGATTTTAGTAGTAGCTGATTTTTAGTCATCAGGGATGTAGTAGATTAGATTATTGTTTTAAAAAATACTCCCCACTTCTACCTGCCATAGAAGAAATATACTGTGCTGCCCCGTTGATATTAAACTTGGCCATGTGATTTGCTTTGGTCTCTTGGCAGAACCAAAGGCTTTATGACCTGACTTTAGGCACTGCCATATGACTTTCTTTGGCCAATGAGCTGCTCACTGAAGCCTGAAATATGCTAGTGCAGCTGGGCTCAACCTCTTGCCATTTCTGCCATTGCCCAAAGAGCTCTCCCCAGTCCCAGTTAGCAACTCATCTTTAGCTTAGGCTCTAGCCAAACTTACAGTAAGAAGCCAGACCCAGGTAGACCAGAAGCCTGAAGCAAAGACCTACATTTGACCTGCGGATCCATGAACACAGAAGGAAATGATTATGGTTATACGTCACTAAGTTTGAGGTAGTTTCTTATACAATATTAATGTGATACCAGCTGATCAGTAAAAGACAAATAATGTAAAGTACTTTTGAATCTCATAATACTTTAAAATTATATTTAATTGTGGGTTCTGAAAAAATAAATTTTCTGAGTGCAAGATCAAAATTTTCAATAATTGGTTCTAAAAATAATAAATAGTATATATTGTCTATTTTTTCCTAAAAATAAATGGCACTTTCTTCTTCTACACCCCCAAAGAACAGTAAGGAAGGTCTATTTTTATAAAACAAACTTTGAAAGTCATTCTTTTTTTTTTGGTACCGGGGATTGAACTCAAGACCTTGCGCTTTTGAGGCAGGCTCAGTGCCACTGAGCTAAATGCCCAGCCCTGAAAGTCATTCTTAACTGTGTACTCTAGATGTATTATTTTAAATTTTCTGGACACATATTTCAAGCTGTATAACTAAAACCATGGAGATAGGAAGCAGATAACAGCTTGGGTAGATGGAAAATGCACCCTCCCAAGAAAATAAGTCATCAATTCACAATTTGTTGAAGTTAGTTCCTTAAAAAGAATTTAATACTGTTCAAAAAAATTAACCTACCTAAAGAGTCTAAAATATCCTTTATATCTGTAATTAGACAGTCCAATTTATAATTTTCTCGATGACCAGGGGCATCTGTTTCTCCATAGCCTCTCAAATCCAGTGCAACAACTCTATATGCACTTTTAAATTCTCTCAGTTGGTGACGCCAAGAATACCTGCAGGGAAAAAGAAACATTAAAAATACTCTATTAACTAACACAAAAAATAACATTAGTAGGGCATGGTGATGAGTGCCTGTAGTCCCAGCTACTTGGGGCTGAGGCGAAAAGATCACTGAGCACAGAAATTCAGGATCAGCCTGGGCAGCATAGTGAGACCTTGTCTCAAAATAACAAAAAATGAACACCAAAAACAGTAATACTAAAGTTTTCCCAAGTGGAAATCTATAAGAAATTCTTTATTTTGAAAAATAATATAATTGCTTCTCAGTAAAAAAAAGAAAACCATGTGAGAAGGAAGCACTGATAATCTTTACTAAAATTATCTTATCTTTTTACCAGCTTCAGCAGGGTATGTATGACAAAACGATTTACAGAAACTATAAAAAGTTGGATATAAAAATCAATATATATGTATATATGAAATCAATTTTCTAAGCTTTTCTTAAATGATGCTTGTAGCCATCAGGGAATCTGTACTAAGATCAATCCATTATTTTATAGCCTTAAGTTTTAGATATAATAAATAATTATAAAGTTTTGAAATATTGTGAGAGAGAATGCGAGCTTGAGTGTTTTATAAAAGCATCTGAATGGTTATTTTACCCAGGACTTTGGTGGAGTAACATAAGCAAAACGTTTTTGTACAATCATTTGATTCTCTTATTAGTAAATTTATTAGATGAAAATATATTTTCCTCTAAAGCAGATTTTTCTCATCTTACTCTACTATCAAAAGGGCCTGGTGTTTTCAGTAATTACTATATAATAATTTATTTATGGATGAAAAAGCCTGAAAATTAAGACAGATTATCACTGAAAGAATCCAATAGCACAACCTTTTAAAATGATTCTCTACTTGCTATGCAAAATTCTCTGGAGAAGATCTGAACCCATGACTAAAAGCAAGAGTGATACTCAAAACAGTTAACAACCAAAATGGCCAAAATGATGAGTTAGAATGGCCAGAGTGCTGTAGCCATGCTCTCCAGGGCTCTGCGGTGCCAGGTATTCCCTCTTGTGCTTAATCATGAAAGTGCAGAAAGAAACTGCATGAAACTGCAGGAGATTTTTTTTCCTCCAATAAGCAAAGTCATTTTGGATAACTAACAAGAAAAGTATATATATATACATTTTTTTTTTCAAGGTGACTCATTGTGTTATAGAACTCAAAATGTGCACTTAAAAAAAAGCATCCTTATGCACATCTGTTCACGGAAACACAGTGTAAAATGATCTGACACAAGCCAAACGGGAGATTATTGCCTGAAAATATCTCTGGAGTGCAACAGACAAGCAAACACAGAGATGTAAGATTAAGCCAGTAGTGAGACGGCAGTGCAAAGTGACCCAAAAGTCAAGGTGGTGGTGCATGGCTGTAATCCCAGCACTTGGGGAGCCTGAGACAGGAGCATCACAAGTTCAAGTCCAACCTGAGTAATTTAGTGAGAACCTGCTTCAAAATAAAAATAAATAGGAAAAGGGCCGGGGATGCAGTGCAGGGTGAAGGCCCTGCATTCAATCCTCCATACAGTCCCTCCTCCAAGTGACATAAAGCAATAAGATCAATATAACAAGTCAATCACCTCACATTGACAGATTATCAGGAAGAGTCTCAGACACAGATTTGGAATTATGAATGCACACAAAATCTCTAACCTTTTGCTAGGATATCTATGACTTAAATATCTGCAAAAATATTGCCAATTAAGATGGGTTTGAAAAATGTTAATAGCATTTGCTTTTGCTAGACCATAGCAATCTTCTTAATCTTGGCTCTAGGTTGTAACAAAAATGAAGCAGTTTGCTTCCTCATAGCTTCTCATCAATTGACACACATAACTTTGTTATTTTCTCATTAGCCTTACAATTTTGAATTGGTTTTTATGTCTATGAAACTGAAGCCCAACTCTCCCCACTGTATAATCTCTCATACTCAGTCAATAAAGTTCTGCAGATTTAACATCTTAAATATTTATGTAATCACTCCTCCTGTCCATCCTGTTATGATTACATTAATTCAGGATTCCATTTTTGCACCAGTCTATTGATTACTCTGTGTCTATTTCATTCGTCTTAGCTCTGTCTTCTGTGAAACCAGAATGACACAGCAAAAACATAACCTTCCTTATTTCCCTGCTGAAGATCTTATGATTCCCTATCCCTCACAACATGAAGCCTATGCTCATTATCCTGACAGACTAAACCTTTAAGATTTGACTACTGCCCAGTCTTCCAGGACGATCATTTTTCAGTCTGTAATTCACTTTGTAATAAAAATAAATGACATCTACATCATTCTTACTACGTGCCAGGCCCAACTATAAGTGCTTCACATATGGTAATGCTGATCTTCAAAACAATTCTTTTTAGTAGGTATTATTATTATTATTATTCCACTTTACAAAGAGTCAGGGTACAGCAAGGCCAATTGAAGTGCTGAAGGTCACAGAGTTAGCAAATAGAAGAGCCACGATTTGAACCTAGATAGTCTGACCTTGAAGTCTACCTTATGCTGCCTCTGCAGCACTGACCTTGGAGTTTACCTTATGCTGCCACTGCAGCACTAGACTGTTATACATGGGTATTGTGTTTTGCTTTTATGGGTTTGTTCGTACTGTGTCCTTTGAAACACTATCTTCCCCATCATCCCCCTATGACCCCACAATCCTTGACCATCACTTCTCAGTTTTCTCCTCTACACACTGGGCCTGTCCTCATTCAGGAGACACCTAGGCTGCCTCCTTTATAGGCTTGGGTGGCCCTTCTGTACTCTCCAGTGCACTGGGCACATGTTATACAATGGTCTATTCCTATTTGGCTCTTCTACCCAATATTGAGCTCCCTGAGTTGCGTGTAGGTGCTTAATAAAGATTTGTTGAATAAGTGAAACAACAAACTAATGGAACACTGATTTAATGGTAGTGCTAGTTTTTCAATTAGACTTCTGCCCTATTCAAACCTTAAGATATATTCCTGCTAAAGAATTCATAAATAATAACACATTTGATTCACACTTTATCCCTAAACTGAAAAAAAAAATCACCCTAGTGATAGCCTGATGGGCATGTCATTCATATGAATAAAACAAAACACCGCCCTGACACAGAAATTGATACATCTTGCAAAAGCAGTAACCCTCCAAAATATCTAAATAAAACTATTTTCATCCACATTGCCTTTTTTTTCTGGTAGCTTTAGGTAATAATAGAGGCTGCTCAGAAAAAAAAAGCAAATCAACTCTTTCCCAGTTGTTACTCTCAAAATAAGGAGGGCTGCTAGTTTTACCAGGCCAGCAGCCACTTTTAAATGTAAAAACATCCTTTTCCTCTTCGCCACAGTGGAAGACAATGGTTGTTGGCCTCTGTACTCAGCTATATGCATGAAGAGCCTTTGCATGCCTTGGCTCAGCATTTGAGTGATGAAGCATGTTTTCCACACAGCTGGTGATGAGGACAACTCACAGAAATTGTCTCGGTCAGCTCAAAATATTTTTAAAAGAGATGCAAATTGAGATGGAGAGAGAGAAAAATCATCCTCTGATGGCCTTATTTGAAGCTAATTTAGCTAAAGTTCTGAAATATGTGTCTTTGATGTTTCCTTTAGATTTTAAGAAAGAATGCTCAGGATTTTATTGTTTTCTGTGTACTGTGTAATAGTATACATTAAATATACCATTTCTCAACAGCTATTCTTAAGCAATGATGATAAAATTAGAGAATACATTATACTTGTATGGTGCTTCTCTGTCTAAAAACCACTTTCACACACATTACCAATTTATGATTATTGTTTTCATTGTATCAAATACTTCTGATCTACCTGACCTAACCTACAAGCTTGTACATTCATGTGCACTTATATAAAGGTTAACTGATAGAGGAATAACATTAATGTAAACTGAAAGTGTTTTTGAAATGCCACGCATAAAGTATTTTTGGCTTCTAAAATGAAAAAACAAACAAACAAAATGGAGTTATGTTCTAAAACATAAATCTTAGAATTTGGTCCTAAATTCTAAGATTTGGATTTTTTTCACTAGCACTTGAATGGAACTGACTAAATTGCTTAATGGGTAATAATGGTACCCACTAAAGGTCCTAGGATATGTACAGCAATCAGCAGGACTTTCTATTTTGTTTGGCTTGTGTCAGATCATTTTACACTGTATATCTATGCACAGATATGCACGAGGACGCTTTTTTAAAAATGCATATTTTGAGTTCCATAACACAGTGAGTCACCTTGAAAAAATATATAAACACTTTTCTTGTTAGTTATCCAAAATGACTTTGCTTATTGGAGGAAGAAAATCTCCTGCAGTGTCATGCAGTTTCTTTCTGCACTTTCACAAGGGAATGCCTGGCACTGCAGAGCCCTGGAGAGCTTGGCAACAGCACTCTGGCCATTCTAACTCATCATTTTGGCCATTTTGGTTTTTAACTGTTTTGAGTATCACTGTTCCATAAACAATGGAACATTGTTATGAAAACTAGGTCAAAAAAAGTATCTCTTTTAAGATAAAACAGAAAGCAACTATTGCCCTGTGTTAAATGGGTACCACTGCCATTCTCTGGGACTCTGAAACAATTACCAAGTGGTAGAAGTGGTTGTAGGTTCATTTTTAACTTTATGTAGATTGTTCCACATGTAAAGAGTTGACACTCCAGCAGGAGAAAGAGTGTGGACTGGAATTGGGGTAAATATTATCCCCCCCATTCAGACCATGAATTTTATTTAGAATTATGATTTAAAATATTAACGTAAGTTATTCTTATATTGTACATTAACTTTTGAGCCAAGGTCTTGTTATGTTGGCCAGGCTGGTTTTGACCTCCTGACTCAAGCCATCCTCCTGCCTCAGCCTTCCTAATGCTGGGGCTGCAGTTACCACTGCATTCAGCTTGCTGGCTGACTTTTTAATGCCCTCTTGAATGTTGGTATAAAGTGAAATTTGAGGGGTAAAAACTCACATATGTATCAGATCATTACGGTTCCTATAGACTGAGGACAGACAGCAGAGTTCAGCTCTGAATTTTAAGAATGAGGAGCACCTTACTTTCTGGTACTGCTAATTTTAAATGGAGAGCTATGAGGTTTAACTGAGAAGATATAGGCAAAACACTTCTAAGAGTACTTGGGTCATAGTAAATGCTCAGTAAATGTTAATTATCATCACTATCATTGCCACAATTAGGAAATTATAGATTTCCACACTGAGTGAAGGAGAATGAAGGAAGAAAACATTTATTGAGTATTCCCTAGGACCATGTGAATGGCTTTTCATATTTTGATTCATAACATCTCTGCAAGATTACTAAGACAACTGTGCAGGACCACATAAGCCAGTAAGTAGCTAAACCAGAATTCACCGCCTACATTACCCTGAGTAGATCTGACTAATGCTTCAGAGTAACATTTTATTGTGAGCCACTTGTGTCATGCGCTCTCTGTGTCAAGTACTCATGTGAGTCTGCATACAGATGCTTGAATTGCATAGGCAGATGCACATTATCCTCAGATGGAAGAACAGATGAAAATTACATGTTTATTTAGATCCAGAAAGGGGAAAAAGTCTTCATGAAGGGAAAGTCACCTCAGGAAGAGGTACCCATGTGTTATATCTTGTATCTAGACAATCCCCTCAAAGCCTCATACAGTCATAGGTGGGACTTTTCAGAGATGGCTGTATCTAGGGTGTGTGAATGTGGATTAAGAGTGTGATATTGGGATTAAGCATATGTGGTACTGGATTAGTCCACTAATTGATTTATCATAGTTCTGAATGTGTGTAATGGGATGCCCCAGCCTGAATGTGGGTAGCACCACAAAAAAGGCTTGCAGCCTGGATGGGATAAAAGGGAAAGGGAGGCTTGTTGATGCTGCTTGCTGCTTTCCTGCTTTCTGCCTGCCCTGCTATGGAATGTTTCTCCTTTTTCAGTGCCCTTCTGCCTTGTCATCCTGTTGTGGAGCCAGCAACAATGGACTATAACCTCTACAAACTGAGCTGAAATAAACCTTTCCTCTTTTAACATGTGGATGTCAGGTATTTGTCTCAGCGATGAGTAAAGAAAGACACCATGGATTTTGCTCCAGAAAAATTATGAGGTAGATGGATCATTACCACCCTCCATTCCATTCTTCAATGCCTAATACTTCTTGGTACACTAATGTCTTCAAAGTATTTACTCATATAGTCTCCTTCATTCAGAAAGTACAGTATTAACTAACTTGTCTAAAATTAATATGCCTTTCAGAGACAGATGCATTTTAAATCGGACTTTGGGTGACACAAAATCTTTGAAACTCTAAAGGAGGTGAAGAATTTTAATAGTGGAATTCTAGGTATTATGAAATAGTAAAGGAGAAATTTTGGGACAGACTGTTATCCCAGACTTTTTCAAAAGACACTGGATATTCTACCTCTGAGTCAGCTCAGAAAATGTACTTTATATATTCATTCATTTCTGGACCTATTTAGTTCAGACCATCTGAAGATCACCGCCCTGTGCTACCGGTAGAAGCCACTATAATATTTACCACCCTACTCCATTTGATATAGAACTCAGGGCCTATCGTATGTTAGACAAGTACTTTACCTCTGAGCTAAATCTTCAGCTCTTTCTTTAAATTTTATTTTGAGACAGCTTGCTAAATTTCCCCAGCTGGCCTTAAACTAGTGATCCTCCTACTTCAGCCTCTCAAGTGGGATTACTCTACCATCTCTGTTAAAGATACTTCATTAAATTTTTTTTAAAAATCAGGTGTTGCTTTAACCTGTATTTATTTGGCCTTCTGGAGCCAATGGAGAAATTTTCTCCTTGGGTAACTTTTATGGTCTGAATATGTACCCTAAAATTCAGATGATGAAACTTAATCACCAATGTAATAGTATTAAGGGAGGGGCCTTAAAAGGTGATTAAGTCACAAGGGCAACATCCTCATAAATGCTATTAGCAACCTTATAAAAGGGCTTGGCCATTTTTCCTCAGTCTTTCTACCATGTGAATTCACAGCATTAAGCCCCTCTGGAGGACACAGCAACAAAGTACCATCTTGGAAGCAGAGATTGGGTCCTTACTAGACACCAACCAGTTCATGTCTTAATCTTGGCCTCCAGAATTATGTGAAATAAATTTCTGTTCATTATGAATCACTCCATCTCAGATATTTTGTTATAGCAGCACAAACAGAGTAAGATAGTAACAACTGTGCATTTTTGGCTTTAGGTTTTCTTTTTAATGTGAAATATACAAGTCTTCAACTTCTCTTGCTTTCATGTAAGTCTATTCTATGTGTATAGGAAACAGTTTAGTTTCACCAAAAGCTTCCTGATAAAAACCACTCCAAGCCTTTGCTTTGTTTAAAAACTCCTTTTGCCACCCAATGTCGTAATTTTGTCCACAGTAACAACTCTATAAAGAAGTGTTGTAAACTATTTTGGAAATTTGAAATATTAAAAATACTTTTTGTAAAAAAACAATCACTTTTTGTAATATTCATAAAATTAATAAATTTAGGATAGTCACATGTAGATTTCCTTAAGAGGAAAACCATTGCTGTGATTCAGGAACATTCAGGAATGATAACTCTGGGAAAATTATCATACGATAGGGTCTGTCAAAAATCATTATAAAAAATGATTGTATAATAAGTGCTATGGTTTGAACGTTTGCCCCCTTTAAAACATATTGCAATGTAATTGCCATTATAATAGTATTAAGAGATGGGAGCTCTAAGAAGTGATTGGGCCATGAGGGATCTGCCCTCAAGGAGGAATTAAAGCCATTATGGAAGGATGAGTTCACTCTTTTGCCCTTTTGCCTTTCTACCGCAACAAAAAGATCCTCACAAGATACTCCTTGATCTTGGACTTTTCAGCCACCGAACTGAGAGAAAATTAATTTCTATTTATTATAAATTTACCACTCTGTAGTATTCTGTTATTGAAGCACAAAATCAACTAAGCCAATAAACCAAGTTTTAATGCAAAAGAAAAAGTTATTTGGTAAGTTTACCAGAATTCTGGAAATCCATGAAGCAGCAGCATGAGTGGTTTGCCTCTTTCCCCAGCAGCAACATAGTGAAATCTTAACCCCGAATCCTGAAAATGGAAGGCATGGAATTTTAGTGATGTTTGGTTTTGATCATAAGACTAGAATATTTAGTAATTTCATTTTATTTTTTAAAATCTGGCTTGCATTTTTTTAACATCAAGAAATAAAAAATCAATTTTGAAAAATAAAAACTTCATGTTTTATCAATAGGATAAATTGATCAAGTTTTATGAACATTTCCTTCACAGTAACTTCCTTTTTAGTTCTGACTAAAGGTCAATTTATATATTTTGAGCTTTTGAAGCAATGTCATAATTTGTAGCTTTCATCTTGAGGATGTGTCACCTTTTATCTCATTCAAATTTGGCAGGACATGTAAATAATTCTGATCTGAATTTAAATTCCTGCCAAGTTTACTTCCTAGTCACGTACTTTTCTCAGCTTACCCGTCAAAAGCTGTGCCATCAGTTATATAATTCACACCTCCTTCTCTTATTTTTAGGTCTCCCTTCCCACATTATTATTTTGAGTGTTGCATGTACCGTTCCCCTTGCTGCCTGCTCCTCATGTCATGTCAGTGTGTGTTTCTAACAACAGAATACCTAGAGTGCTCAACACTTCACCCTGCATGTGGGAGTCAATACAGCCCAAGGAAAAGAAAAGGAATGGGAATGGGAGAAGAATATAGCAACACTAAGGAAACAAAAGAGAAGAAAGGAAAATAAAAAACAAGAAAGAAAAGCAAAATTCTGAAAGAAAGCTGAGAGAGGAAAAACACCAATAGCTATATAGGAACCCTAAGTTATACTGTGTACAGGTACCCATAGGATTGGGTTTTCAGATGTTAATGAGTCTTAAAAGTCATCTAATTCAACATCATCATTTTACAGATCTAGAAAACGAGGTTCAAAGATGTTAACACAAGTCATAAAGGTGATTGGGCGCAGAACATGACTAGAATCCTCATCCTGTACAAACCCCCAGGATGATATTCTTTCCATTCTTTAGTTCTGCATCTCTGGGGAGATCCTTAGGAGGCCAGAGTCACAAGAAAAGCACCTGAGGAATTCCAGATGACTCTCAGGATGCTTTTACTCTTCCACTTGGACAGTTAACATCTGACTTTGCCCTCAACTGCAGAATGCCTTCTTAGAAGTTCAAAAACTTCTCTTATTCTGGTGGTGAGTCTTTAAGGATGACTGCTGTAGGCATTTGACTGGATTTAATTCACACATACTTTATTGTACAGACGTGTCAGGTATTGTTCTAAGTTGTCCAATTTGGGGTTTTTTTGGTGGGGGTGGTGGTGGCAAATATTAACTCAATTCTCATATCAACCCTAGGGTGAGGAAGGGCAAGAGAAACATCTTGAAGGAAGGAAACTCTCACCCTTCTGAATTCCATCCTGCTGGAAAATTTAGCTCCTACTAGGAAATTAGGACTTGGTGACATAAGTATCTCCTCATGCGATGCTGATTTTGAAGGCTTATGAGTCAGACTGCAGGGTATATATCACAGGGATTGTTTTTCCCTTTACCACCTGGAGTCTTTGGAAATAGAGTATCTCTGGGCCATGAGAAAGCCTAGGACAAGGACAAACAACTATAGAGGGCATGCACGGCCAATAATTACTTTTAATTCCATTCCTTTGATTCCTGACTTCATAAATATACTTCCCTCCTCACACACATATAGCATTTATTCTTTTTATTTTTTTTTCATGCTACCTAGGTCATCTGTGATTACAACAAACCCCGAGTTTCAAAGATTTATTCTGTTTATTCTTTCTACCTCAAAATTTGGGCAAAGAAAGCCTCCTGAGACAGTAAGGCATCACCAGGAGAAATTCCTTACAGTTGATCTGAGCTCTAAAAGGCAAAAAGGTGACAGGAGGCAGCTTCCCTTGACAGTAGGAAAGGAAGTACTAGAGAACTCTGATTTTAAAACTCCAGAAAGCAACCAAGGTGTCTGCAAAACGTACCGCCACCCCAAACCCAAGCAAACCTGCCCACACCTTGTTCCTCTCCTGCCTCTCCTTGCGTCCACCCCCCCCCCCCCCCCCCCGCTCACCAGCCCCGGCATTACAAGGGGACGCGGAGCCGAGGGTCAGGGAAGGCGCAGCCCGGCCCCTCAGCTCCCCAGGCCATCGCGTCCTTCCTGCATTACCGCCAGGCCCGCGCCGGCCTTCACCTTAATGCGCACGTAGCAGTGGGTGCCCAGAGAGGGGTCGTTCAGGCACGCAGGAGGGTGTTCCCGGGCCACCCGCCGGAAGGTCTGTGCCGGTCCCTTCCCGATGCTCCACAAAAGTTTGAGCAGGTGGACGGAGGCGCAGAGCCCGCTGTAGCAGTAGACCAGGGACCAGAAGAGCAGGGACCGGATCGCTCTTGTTAGGCGAGGCAGGCAGTCCCGCAGCCTCGCCATAGGGCGGAGCGGCGGCAGGGCCCACAGTCCGCGCTCGGGAGCTGGAGAGCCGCGCCGCTGCGCGTGCGGCCGGACCGCCCGTGCGCCCTCGCCGCTCCGCGCGCGCCCTCCCTGGGCCTGGCGGCCGCGCCGCTCCTTACCCGAGTCCGAGCTCGGCTCCCGCATATGCTGCGCGCTCGGGCCGCCAGGCGCAACCCGGGAGCGCCGCTGCTCAGAGTCCCCGGCTCTGGTCCGCCCTGGGCCAAGCAAGGGTGGACGCCACGGCCTTCTTTCGCCGAGAGTGACTTCACATTTGACAGCTACTAAAATTATGGGCGAAATGAAGGCGACTTTCCAAACCCTTCTGGTTACCGCGGAAGCGCCGCTGTCGTTTTGACCATTGTTCTCATCCCCCGTTGCCCACCTAGTTGGAATTTCATTACGCCCTTCTCCGTGTCACAGAATAATGCGGTACGGGAAGAGAGGAGACAGCAAACGACTTTCGTACTAGATTGTGGACATTGTTACTTTATTCCTGACGATCTCAAGATATTAATATTCTCCAGCTAGGTTCAAAGTTGTTACAGTCCAGATAGAAAACAGCAAGTAAGCTTTTTAGAGCAAGCTAAGCCCAAAGCAACCAACCATTGGTCTGTTTGTCCCTGATTTTTGTTGTTTAGAAGAGTATTGTATAAATGGAATCATATAGTATGTAACCTTTTGTTCCTGGCTTCTTTTAGGTACCATAATGATGTGAGATTCAACCATACTATTGCATGTATCTATATTGTGAATTACTGTTTCATTAAATGGATATAACACAATTGTTTATGCATTCTCCAGTTAAACGTTTTTCCTTCCAGTTTGGGGCTGTTATGAACAAATCCACTATAAAGTCACATACAGATGTGTGTGTGTGAATGTTTTCACTTCACTTGGATAACTACTGAGAAGTGGGATTGTTGTACATTTAACTTTATGAAAAACTGTCAAAACTGGTCTTCAAAGGGGCTACATTGGGATAGGGGTATAGCTAAGTGGGAGAGCCTGTGCCTAATTGTGTGCTGAGGCCATAGGTTCATCCCTCGTACAAAAGAGTGGCTGCATAATATTGAAATCACACCATCAAGGTGAGAGAGAGCTACTTAGTTCACTTCTTGAAAGCACTAGGTATTATTTTTTTAAAACTATTTTTAGTTTTAGACATTCCATTAAGTGTGCAGTGGTATTCCACTTCCCCAATGTCTAGTAATATTGAGCTCCTAAGTAACTTGTGTGCCACTCAAATATATTTTTTGACAAATCTTTCATTTGTTTTAAAGATTAAAAATTTCCCCCTACTGTTGATTGTTCTTGTATGTTTTGGTTACAAATTCTTTATCATATCTGATGTAATATGCAAATATTTTCTCCTAGACTCTAGCTTTTCAGAGTAAGTTTAATTTGGATAGTCACATTCGTCCACTTTTCCATTTATGTCATGCTTTTGATGTCAAATCAAAAAGATCATGATCTTCTTTTCTTGATTACACATGGACCATGATCCATTTTGAGTTTTTATATAAGGTGTGGTTGTTTTTGTTCTTGTCAACGGATATCCAGTGCTACTTGTTGAAAAGACTACCTTTCCCCTGTGGAACTGCATCTGTTGTATTTGTGTAGCTCTATTTCTGATATCTCTGTCCTATTCCATTATCTATGCATATTCGTGTTCACTTTTTCCTCCTTTCCTTCCTATCTCCTTCCCTTTCTCCCTTTCTCCCATGATCCTTGTTTTGTATATTTGTATGTTCTTATATACGTCTCCTTGGTTTGTAATAGCTTCCCTAGGGTATATAGTTGGAAAGAGTTGCTGGGTTACCACTACACAGCTATTCAATTTTATAAAATATTGAACTGTCTTACAAAATAGCTATATATGTATTTATGCTATTGGCATGAGTTCCTACTGATACTCTTGTATCACTTTAGCTAATGTGGTGAATAAAGATTAGAGTCATTTATGGCTTCGATTTTCATTTCCCTCAGTATTAAGCTGAACATCTTTTCGTGTTCATTAGCCATAAGTATTGTCTTTGAAGTGACAAATTTGTGTGAGGCAGAGAATCACCAATGTCCATGAGTTGTTTCAAATTTCACAGATTTGCAGTCAAATGTGGCCAAGTGGTTGGGTTCTGGTTAGGAGATACGAATGCAAGAGGCCTCTTTCAAATCTGACTATTAAAAACTTTCTGTGTAATGCTTTCACTCTATATTCCTGTGCTATAGCAATTTTAGAGAACACAGGTTCCTGGTGATGTAACTATAAATGGAATAGAGCCATTCAAACCACTTTACTTCCCATAAAAATTGAATATCCCTTATACATTTAAGACAGCATTTCGTGGAAAAAATATTTCACTGCCATTTTACTGAGCTCAGAATTCCAAGCTGACTTTCCCTCCTTTGTTTTCCTTTTTATTTAATCAAAGACTGGTGGATAAACAGAAATACAGCATAATCACTTCAGATCATTCTTCTTGTATACACACAGATCTATGATCTATAATGTGAAAAGAAATACACAGTTGGCAAAGAAATGTATGTAACTTTTCCTTCTCCCACTCAAAACCTTTTAAATCATACAAACTTAGAATCTCATCAGTATGTTCTTTTCTTTGACAAATGGTTCAGAATACGGTGAAAAGAAACTATATGCTAACATGTGCATAAACTGTTAATGAAAAAAACCAGAAATAGCCATGATTATCAGTCACTGATAATCAGTTATGCCCTACAGAGCACTGTCAAAAAAGAAATTGCAGCAGAGAAAAGCTATATATACATACACAAGAGCAAATAAACTGCAAGATTAATGCATGCATGTTTTAAGGTAGAAAAAAATCATAGCCCTCCAAATTCTCCGCATTTCAATCTGACAGTTTTCTTTCAAGACTTTTGAAAATTAATTTCATTGTTTTTGGTACTCATTGTTTTTATTTTTGTTTTTTCAGTCTTGGGGATAAATCTAAGGCCTTATGCATATTAGGCATATGCTCTACCACTGAGTCACATCCCCAGGCCTTTAAAAAATGCTATTTTGAGACAGTCTAAGTCGCTCAGGGTAGCCTCAGGCTCCCGAGTAGCTCACATTTCATACCTGTATCACTGCACCCAGCTACTACTCCTTAATTCTGCTGGTGAAATAAAAATAAGCTCCTTTATAGCTTTTTCCCTGCTTACAAAATTCTCTTTGCTTATGGTGGTGTGTTGGCCATTGAAAAATGTCTTAAGTATGAATTTCTTTTTCATTATCCTGTTTAGGATATTGTAATTCCAGAATAAAAGGTTTAACTTTTCTCAATTTTAAGAAAATTACAATTATTTTCTCAAATTAATGACCCTTTCTATTCTTCTGGTTGCTTCCAAGTACTCTCATTAGATGTAGTAGAGCTTTTCATTTTATCCTGTAGATCCGTTAGCAAATTTCCTGACATTTTATCAGTAAGAGGTCAGATGGCAGGTATTTTAGTTTTTGAGGGCCATACAATATTTGTCACAACTACTGACATAGTACAAAAGACAGAGACATGTAAATAAATAGATGCGGATGTATTTCAATAAAACTTTGCAAAACCAGGCAGCAAGCTGGATCTGACCTGTTGGGTCATGGTTTGTCAAGCCCTACACTCTAATTTCTTAACATCTTTTTACATCTTCCTTCTCCTTGTCTATTTGTGCTGCTTGGTATATTCATTTGGGTTATCTTCTAGCTCATTGTTTTTGCTTTTTGATAGTGCTGGGGATTGAACCCAGGGTCTGATGCATGTTAGGCCAGTGGTCTACCACTGAACTCGGTCCTAGCTCATTTTCTCTTCCCTGTTTCTAATTGCTTTTCTAGCAGTTGCATTTTTTTCCCCAATCTGCCGATCTTCCACTCCAAAAAATTTTTATTTTTAAAAACATTTTCAAGTGGCTATTCTCTGGAAGTCCTGGGGAGAGCAGGGTAAAAGGATGTTACAATGTCTGCTCTCACTGAAGCTTTGGCCTTTAGCCTTTCAAAGACCTTCCTTCAACTTTCCCGCCTCACCAGTGCCCCATGACACAACTACCATGCTTACATAGCCCTACACATCTGATTTGGAAGAAGTCCCACCATCCCAGTTGCTTAGTGTGTTTCCAACTAATTTCAGGATGAAAGACCAGAGAGTATAATTGTAAAGCTGAAGATAAAATTGGTAGATCTCTAATTCTAATCTAATTTCAGTTAAAGCCTTCATAGTGTTTAGATTAGTCAACTTTTATGAATTATAAATTTTTATCAGCAATTGTTATGCAATTCAGACATTCAGTAAGCAAATTGTGTTAGCATAACTGATAATTCGTTTAGAAGGAAAGGAAGCCCCCTTACCTCATAACCATAGATTAAAACTATCCTTAATACATCTGGAATTCTACTGTAAAAATTACATCTGGATTTTAAGTGCAAAGTATATGTAAGTATATTATCAACTTGATGTAGGGGATAAAATATTCATAAAGCAAAGGCCAGATGTGTGACTACATAAAATTTAAAATTTTAATGTGAAAAAAGAGAGCCTCAAAAGACTAATGTATGGAAAAAAATGTTTTCAAAACAAAGAGCCAAAAAGAAAAAATTGTACAGGTTGTACAGGTTGATAAGAAAAAAAACTAAAAAGAACGACCAGGCAACTCACATGGCAAACAAATATAAGACAATCCAACTTCATTTATGGTCATGCAAATGAAAGAAACAAAACTTTTTTTACTTTAACAAAAAATGAGGGCAAGAACCTCCAATGATGGTGAGGATAATGAGAAAGTGGTATTTCAAACTTTTAAGAATATGAACCACTCTACCATTTGGGGGAACAGTTTATCTGGCAGTATCTATTAAAATTAAAACTATTTCCTTGGACTGTACCTTCTGACCCACAGATCCTATTTTAGGAGCTTGATCATTTAGAAACAAAAGCACAAATACCTAAAGCTATATTAACAGCATGTTTGAGTACTATTCATAGTAGAAAAAGATGGTAAGCAACTGAGTCAACAGGGGATTGTTTACATAAACATGATACAGCTGTATGTACTACT